GTTTGTCAGTTTGACAAAGCGGTTGACTACTCTGTGGAAATGGAAGAAATGTGTTTATAATTAGTTTATTTTGTTTTGGTTGGTTTTTTCTTTATCATACAGGAAGCACACGAAAACAGTAACTGTCTAGTAAATAAATGAAAATATAAGACAGAAAGAGACACTCCCACCCTTTTTACAAGGACCTTCTGGATAATACTTATATTTTTCTGATTCCAGAAATGTGACCAAAAAGCAGAAAAACATGACGCGAACAAGAAAAACCAAACGACCAACCCTGCCAAACGCCGGAGAAAGGGAGAGAACTCCTCCCGTGTGACAACCCCAAATGTCGCTGCCCTGGACAGCCCCGGAGTACCTCCCCCTGACAAACGCCAAAAACAAGGACCTCCGACCCACCAGTCATCGGCCGACCCCATTGACCAGGAGATCCAACCTCCCCCCAGCTCGGAGGTCCCACCTACCCCCAAACTAGCCAAGACCATCTCATCTTCCCACGAGGTAAGTAACCTGCATGGTCAAAATTTTGAAGATTTTCAAACCTGACAGAAAATGAAAAGCAAAATGAATCGAACTTCGTTGAGTCACAGAGTTACTAAATGTACAAGTTGCAGTCCCAACAATAAACCACCAACAGCTTTCTGAGTGCCCCTCCAACAAACAAACAAACAAACAAACAAACAAACAAACAAACAAACAAACAAACAAACAAACAAACAAACAAACAAACAAACAAACAAACAAACAAAACCTCAATTAATCAACCAAACCACCCACCCCTTCTCTCCTTGATAACAAAAATAGAAACCCATGTTCCCCCTTCCCTTTAAATAAAGCAAAACAAAAACCTAAACAAATTTTTTTTTTAATGTCCATGCCTCCCCCTCTTGATAATGATTATTGTAACTGCCATGATAAATAAAACGTACAACTCTCTTCGCTCTACAATCAGCCTGCCAAGACTAAGGAAAAGATTCCCCGAAAGAAGCCCGCCAAAGCAAGGAAGGGTCCTCAGCGAAATAGACGGCCACACTGGAAGAACTCAGCACCCCACGTGGTACCAATTTTTGAGGAATGCGAAGAAAAGAGCCATTTTGTGGAACACGGAGTGTTTATGGTGAGTCTTTAGATTTCGTAAGAGTTTTACAGCACTTGCGACACAATTAGATCATTCAAGTGCAGGAGATTAGAAGTAGTGTTACTGGGGAATAGCATACAATTTCTTTTAGAAGAAGAAGAAGAAGAAGAAGAAGAAGAAGAAGAAGAAGAAGAAGAAGAAGTTTGTTACGTAAATATTATGGAAAGAGGTGAGAGGAGATAAGTTATTATCATTGCTCTCTTGAGATCTGTTCCCAAAAAGTGAAATAAAATGATTGTGGTACTCAAGAAAATCCCTCACATAGCATTCTTCATCTCATCAGCTTCATCATCATCATCGTCATCATCATCATACATTATGTTGTTACGTAAACTTTCTCTGACCGTTACAGCCGCCAGACGCCCCCACATCTGAGGAAGAACAAAAAACGCTGGTGGAACAACTCCTACGTCTGTACGATAACAGCAATCTACCCCCGGTGCCAGAAGGAATGAGATCAGACCTTCTGTTCCTGCGTTATTACCCACGGATGAAGACCCTCCTCCGGGTAAGTACAAAGTGTCTCTCTCTCTCTCTCTTTCTCTCTCTCTCTCTCTCTCTCTCTCTCTCTCTCTCTCTCTCTCTCTCTCTCATTTTTGGAAGTTTTTGAGTAAAGACTGACGAATATGGCATAGTAATTAGGTGCTTCGCTATTGCAAGCAGGAGACTAAAGTTCAATTCCCCAATAGAAAGAAATTCTTTATTGAGTACACAGGTCTTACTCTGAAAGGCAGGGCCTGAAGCCTGACTCTTTAATTAACTAAATTGTGTCGATGGTAGTGTAAAAATACCTACATAAACATCTTGTTTTGTTTTTTATTCACAGGTTCTAAAGGCTGAGCCAGGCAGGGAGATCAAGCTCAAAGATAATTGCTGGTTTCTGTGCTTCGAGAACTTTCAGATGGTGAGCAAGTCAGAACAGGAACAACTTATCAAGCCCAACATCTTGACGACAGGTTGGTGCTGGGCAATTTGGGGGCGGGTTGAGAGAGAAAGATAGAGAGAGAGAGGGAGAGAGAGAGAGAGAGAAAGAGAGGGAGAGGGAGAGAGAAAGTATGGGGTAGGAGGGAGAGACAGAGGTGAGCGGGGCAGCGAATGAAGAATGCGTTATCCTATTTATCTAACACCCTTATACTATACATAACACCCTTCCTTTTATAAGAAACACCTACCCCCCAACCCCCATCCCCGCCACCCCCAAGAAAAACATTCCTCCACCTGCACACCCAAAACAAAACAAAGATTTTAAACCATTTTGAAAAGAGATAAAGGAAACAAAGATACAGTATAATATATGTAAATGAATAAACAACTATTGTTTTTGAATATATGTATGTCACCAACACCAGATTTAGAAAGGAACAATTAAGTAATAAATATGTAAACCATATGTAGCCCACGTGGGACCCTCAATGTTAAAAACAATCAGGAAACGACAAATGCAGTTTTTGGGACTCCTGAATAGACATAAGGGTCTTGAACATCTAGCTCTCACTGGCAAAATTGAAGGCAAGCGAGGCAGGGGTAGGCCCAGAACAACATACTTAGGGAACCTAAACAAATGGGTAACAGGGAAAAATCAGGGAAACGTAGCTTTTCTGAGAGCATCCGAGCAAAGGAATGAATGATCGCCGATGTCTGTCG